GTGTCGGCTAAAAGCCGCTGAACCAAGAGACTTCAGTGGCAAGAAACGCTTTCTGTGTACCTTTACCCTACCGCAACAGGTGGCTTTCCCCCATCCCCTCACCCAGAAAGACGGGCGCTCTGAACTGCCTTCCCTCGACAGTGATTAATCGCTCCATTCATCAGTTCGCACAGTGTTCAAAAGTCAATGCACGCTTTGAAAAATGTCGCTGTCCCTCCGCCGACACACTACGTTTCTAAGGACTCGGCGTTCACCACAGCTGTGTCCACTGGGAAGTGTATAAATACAAGACATGCACTATACTGTAAATTCACATGAGCTATTAAGTATAAACTTTAAGGAAATCTAAACACTAACCTCAGTCACATTCAGAATGGTAAAGCTACGAGGGCATTTTCACAGACAATGATCTAGGAGTTATGTTAGTTCCCAGGGATTTCGCAAAGCGTTTTTCTCTTGTTACCTTGGTAACCGCTACCTTGGCACCCTTGTTGATAAGCTGCACCACATTCTCCACTTGGCCTTTGTAGGCGGCTACGAGCAGGCGTTCTGAAAGCACGGCGACCACATCCTGCTGGCTCATGAATTAGGAGAGTAAGGTTTTCAGGTTTCTTCGGTCCAAAAACAAAGGTTTGGGATCGGTCCAAGCAGCATGCAGGCAGGCGAGGAAGGACCCCAGCTCCCTGGACAGTGACGTTATTGCTATGCCATCCTCTGGACCTGTGGATCAGAAAACAACACTGCCGTCAGCAAGGTTTCAGAGACGGAAGCACTGCAGCAGCTCCTCCCCGCATGTTCGTCTTCGCATCGCTTTGGGAGGGGGTCACAAAAAACCCTCGGAGCCTCCTGAAGACATTGCACTTCTGTTGCAGTGCAGAGGGATGTAGACAGTAGCATATTTTCAATGTGCCCTCATTCCCCTAGTTTGGGACAAAAATCCTTAAACTTTCTGAGAGCTTAACTCTCTTTTGGCCTAACCTGTATTTGTGTGGCCCCCTTTCACTCTCTCCTTCCCCCTAGGTTTCCCAGACTTTAATTAGCCAAGGACAGGTTAACTACCTCCACTGCTAATAGTAGCTCAGCCTGTGTTGGCCAACAGAACAAGAATAGGTTATAGTTACTGGCTGCTGATATAAATACACAAACCTCTGGCCTGGAAGGACTGAGTGCTGTCAGCAATTAAAGGCAGCTGACTGTTCCCTCACGAGTATAAAATGCTTCACAGCCTCCCCCAAACCATCCCAAGGACACCTTTGGGAGGGATCACAACCTGCAACTGGGAAATACTCATCTTTGCTGTCAGCGAGAAATGATGTTCCCCCCGCAGTGCTGACATCACGCCACACTGACCCCAGAAACAATTCAGGTTTAGCAGTCATCATGCAAACTTGTGAGCATGATGTTCTTCCCGGGCTCCACTGACCCGTCCAATTAGCCATCGGAGCTGAAAAGAGATTTCTGACATAATTCCAGAAAATGTATCCGCAGATCACTTTGAGCTGTAGGATCCAGAGCCTGCCCAGTTTGGGAGGATTTCAGCTTTACCTGTGCTTTTCACACTTTGGTATTTAGTTGTTTCAGTACAGGAGAAACACCTTCAAGATAGCCAGTGTGTATACAGATGATTTATCTTTCTCTCTCTCTTGAAATACCACTGCACTGCTCCTTATTACCTACCAGTATTACAGCCTTTGCATAGTCTAAGGGTAATTGGTACAGGGACTAGATGATCTTGGAGATAGTGGAATACAATGTCTTTCACCCTTATGTTATCCCTTTGCATCCATCTCAAAACAGCAATAACTAAAACCTATTACTGCTTAATGGCTTTGCTGCCCCCCTAAATTGATTTATTTGTCTCGGTTTAGCTGATAGTACAAAACTCTCCCCATCATAATCCCCCCACTCAGAGTACTGACGTTTTTGCTAACAGCTTCAGCAGGGAGGTCATCACCAGAACAGCAGAAAATATTTCATTTCCATCCTCATACCAGGAAGACACTCCCAGCAACAAGGAGAAAATGCATGGGTTGTTGTGGCACATGAACTCCCCGTCTTCTAAATACTGAGGGCGAGACCTTTTAATGATCATCACTCCAATATTATAAGATCGTACCCACCAGTACACTTCTGCAACAAAAAGGTGCTGTAGCCCTGTTTAATGGAATGGTTAATAGGGTACCATGATCCTCTGTGTCACTAAAGTGGTATCCAAAGTCCTTGGACCCTGCAGGATCACTGATCTACACTAAACATTTTTAATCACAAGCTCACGTATATTAAAACCATGTTGGTTCATTTGTAGTAGTAGAAGACCCTTGCACAATTTAATTTGCACTCCTATGGTATAGGATTCAATAATATTGAATCTTAAGATGCTTTATGAGCATTAATATTTGTAACACCCTTTGAGGTAAGTATTATGCTCAAGAATATCACATGCATTTTAGAAAAGGGCCCTTTAAAGCACAGGAAAGTTCCTGGTTTCTCCAAAGTTAATAGAAAAGTTATGTCAAAGCCAGGAAATAACTCCAGATAATTGACTTTTGATTTCTAAGTATAAGCATTAGGCAATACTACCTCCAGGTAAAAGATTCAGGTTAGCTTTTCTTTACCATCCTCTTGCTTTCTAGGTGTGAACATGTTTGGAGCAACATGGAAATAGCTGCACATTTATTCAGGGAAACATGACAAAAACTTTTTTCTCAAAAGCAGCACAAGAATGGACGTCAGAGAAGCGGTGCTGCACCCTGTGCCACTGGACTGGTCTCACCCACACCCTCAATGTCACGGACACAGTTTGGACACCCTAGCAACATGGAAAAGATGGAATTAAGAAGAAAAAAACCCTTGTTTCTTTCACCAGCACTGTACACATCATACCCTGCCCTTCCAGCACAGTGATGTGTCCAGTATAGTACAAACCACATAAAAAAGCCAAGAAATATAGATAGCCTACACTTAATAATTTGATCTGTGAAAAACAACCCAAGTTTCGATCTCACCTCCCTAAGTATTTGCTTTCCAGTGACACATGTTACTGAAGCGAGCTGAACCCCTGAGCCCAGCCGCCCTGCTCCCAATGCCCCCCTGACCCTCCCATCACATCCCAAAGCAGCATTGCCATAACTCAGGAGCACTTCCCACTCCTTCCTGCTGTGACTGGCACACAGTGCAGGGCAAGCCTTACAACAGGGATCTTTCTCCGTGAGCTTTTCAGGCAGTGAGGTGGTTTGTTCCTCTGTCAGCCCTTGCGTGTGCAGCGGTGGTTTTCAGATGAACTATACCATCACTCGTTTGTCCCCATCCTTATATCTAACTTGGCTGCCCATACACTGGATGGAGTCATGCACAATGAACTGACAACTCTGTGCATCTTAAAACATTTGTGGTCAGACCCTGTTCAGTTTTCTTACCCCTTAAATTCAAAAGAAAGCAGTAACATCATTGACACTGAGAGATTTTCATATTCACTGCAAAAAGCTCAATGCAAACATTTTCCTGACACAGTGACATTTCTGAGCAAATGCACAGAAACTGTGGATGCTTGATCTTAGCCACACCACTAGAAACATACACTAACACCTCAAATGACTTGCAACAGTGCAAAGTTTAGTTCTGCCATGGAAAAGTCTGGTTAACAGGTACATACCTACGCAAGGTAAATGCTGGAAATCATACTCACTTCCTAGTTTGATTATTCTACCTTTCTCTCGCTGCCTTCCCATTACTGCAGTATGTTCCCCCCGGAGATCATGAGCTTCCTCAGCCTGCCATGCCCTGCCACGCTGGAGTGACAGACTGCGACGGCACCACTGTTATCAGGTAGTTTGCCTTCTTGCCTCTTCCATCACTTGGATCACATATAAAAGCATAGCAAGGAGTTGATTCAGCTATCGGTCTTTTACAGATATCTCTCATGTTGTTCACGGCAGTTGTCGGTCTCCTTTCCCGAAGGGCAGTCACGTCACAAGCCTGGCTCCTGCTCCGGGCTGTTTCGCAGGCGGCTGCTCGCACAACAGGTCACATTCCCCACGCCGGCTGCTTTACATCTCCTCAGCTGGGATTATTTGCAACTCAGAGAAGTGCATCTGATTAGGACAGGAAGCCCAGAGAACTGAAAGACCAACTTTGCTTTTCTCCTGAGCTGGTAGGAAAAGGCAATGGGTGACCAGCGGGAGTGGGAGGGGGAACAACCTTCTCATTCCCCTCCCAAGGGACCCTTCCCCAGCGCAGCGGCTCAATGGGCAGTGGCATCGCTCCCCACCAGCTTTAACTCTCTACATGCCTCAGACACACAGAGCATCTTTCCTTGAACACGTCTGCACGCGAAGCAGGAGGAGGTACCTTTACCAGATGCCCAAGGACTACAATTAAAAGCTCGACTGCCCCTTTCACACCCAGATGGTGCAAAATGAACCCGACAACACGATTACAGGCGCTGCATTGCATCGCTGCTTCCAGCACCTGCTGCCCAGAATTAAATCCCTCATTATCACCCCCCAAATCCGGGAGCTCGGCGGAAGCACAGAGCATGGGAATATTCAAACCTTCTGCCTTCAAAACAAAAAAAAGGATTTTGCTTTAATGTATTTTTAAATAAGAAACAGCCATCTCTGTGTTTCTTTGTTTAAGATCAGATTACTTACCTGAGGCAGGCTGGGAAAGCAACACCTCCTCCCGGAGCCTCTCCAGGGAAGCCGGCGAGGTGTGATACCCACAGGTTCAGTTGCTCCACGGCGAGGCAATCCCTTCCGAGGATAACCTGCTCACCACCGAGGATAACTTGCTAACCCCATTGTCAGAGCATGGAAAAGGACAGGTTGACTGTGGATTAGTATTCCCGACCGGCAGCAGCGAGGCACCGTCCCCAGGCGCTGAGGTCCAGCCGCATCCCCACGGATGATGCCCGTGGCTCAATGAGTCACACTGCCCTACAGATGCTCTAGGAGATGTTTGGCCGGGAACTGCACAGCACGGCGCGGGTGGGCAGCGGCTGCTCAGTGGCAGGGTCATAAAGCTCGCAGCTCCGGCCTCTCTCCCGTGCAACTGGCAGAGCAGGCGAAAAACACTCTACGTACCTTCCCCCTCCCCAGCTCCCTCCCCTCCAAAATGCTTGCCATGCTGCTTCAGCGGCCGTATTGCCTACACGTCCGTAACAAAAAAATACAGGAATGATGATTTTTGAAAGTCCAGGACACATCAAATATCACAGATACTGAAAGGCTAGGCGATAGCCTCTCCTAAATTCACAGAAAGGATTAAAAAAACCAGCTTCCTCTCTGAGGAAAGAGAAAAAAGCTGAAAACTATGAAAGATTTAAGAGACATGAGCTGATCAACTTTATAAAGTCCCCTGCGCTAAATGGAAAAGATGCAACGCCAGAGCACAGGTCACTCTCAGTACAATCACCAAGTTAAATTAGTATCTGAATAAAAGAACGCTTACATAGCTAAAAAAAAGTTTCCATGGGTACCAAGGTACAAGATGAAAGGAAAAAAGAAAAAAGAAAAAGGGACCTCACTTTTCTGCAAGGGACCCCAAAATCTCTTTTCTAGTTTATCACCAGAAATAATGCTGAAT